TTACAAGGTATGAGGGGAATCTGAGATGGTAGATGGAGAGAAGCTGTTTCCACTGGGTGGGGAAAGGGAGGCATCGTCAAAATTAGAGCCAAACATTTCAAGAGTCAAATTACGATATATTTATATATGCAAAGGAGAAATTTTGAAACCACTTCAACTGACAATTGATGCTGATAAATTTTAGTTTTAAGTGTGAGATTACTCTATTTTTCCTTGCCAAAGGTATTACAGAATACCAGGTAGGGATGAGTATTGGGAGTTATGGATCAACCATGACTGGTGGAGCAGGCCAAAGGGCTGTAGTGGTGTGCTCTCGTTTCTGGTTATATGTAGTTGTATCTAATAAATAAATAGAATTATTAATAGAATTATTGGTGTGATAACCTATTTGAAAGATCCAAGTCTTACAGTAAATAATAGGAACCTGCCACATCGGTTATTAATGGAATTTCTCTTGTCCCTAATTTAATTAGGTTTGGTTGTTGATAGTCCTTTTTTTTTAAAGTTTTAGTATGTTTTCACTCAATTTCCATGAACTCTGTGATTTAGAGAATCTTGTAAAGCTCAAAATTTCATTTGGCTACTGGCTGTCTAATAATTTAGTGTTGGTTGCAGAGAATGGAAAATTTCTTGTTCTTGCCTGGCCTGTGGTAGAACGGAAATAGTTGGTGAAAGCTTTAGTCAGCTAGTGACTAATCAGAAGGATTATACATAAACGAATCAGTGCATGCAGGGCCAATTCAATCCAACGTTGTTCTTAAATGGTCTGTTGATGGGTTTTTTTCATGTATGAAAAATGGGGGTTGATGAATTGTGCGCAGTAAATGCAAGCATTTTCTTGGTCATCCAAGCTATGATCTGGTTATTGTAACTGTGAAGAAAGATTAAGCCAAGTCGCTGAAGCTTAGATTTGCTAGGTTAACAGCTTTGATTGGGAGTCATTGATCACTGGCTAAATATATTTTGTGTTTTAAATGTCCACACATTTTGTCCTAGTGTTTGTTTTTTGATGCCTTATTTGGATGTACATACACAAAATATAAGTGGTGGAAATAACTCTATGCTGTGTGTGAATAATGGGTGTTCACCTAAAGCTGTATTGAGAATGCATGGACAGTAAAGGTATTCGACAGTGAAAAAATTACGTTATGTATTTTGCATTTCAATAATACACAAGCTCCTCATTTAATGGATTAGTCTCTTTGTATGTGATGATAAAAGGTCTAATTTACAATACAATGATGGCACATAAACTACTGAAGTATTTGAAATAGAGAATAGCATTTTATTCAGGTATATTGGATCTACATCAGTGAAATATGTATTTTGTGCAATGAGATCTAAATCCCTCATTTATAAAAATTCAGCTTAAATAGGTTGCTTAAAGCAATTTTCTTAACTGATTTGATCCATGTTTACTAAGCTGTAGTTTGTACTTGTATACTAACACATTTTAATTGTTGCCATTACTGTCACCTAAGTCTGGATTTTAAAGCTTTCATCAAAGCTTTCACTGGTGTTATTAGCCTGCTTAACTACTGTTTCTAAATATGATTACAATCTAAACCCATAAATGTACAAGTGATAAAGCTTTTTGTATATTGATTTTCAGATACCAACACTGAAGAATTTTCATAATGCTGTGTTCTTTTATAGCATAAATGCAACCCACGTTACAGCGAAGATTTTGTTTTGCAATTGGAGACAGAGCTGGTACAGGCAAGATTAAGAGAAGCAGAATCTCAATGTGCACTTAAAGAGATGCAGGACAAAATCTTGGATATAGAAAAGGTACCAGAATTCCTTTCAATTCATTTGATTTATGTAAAAAAGCACAGTGGACATGCATTTTACTGTATCACTAACCAATTGATGAAATATATTTTCGCATCTTCTTCAAATTCCATTGTGCTAAGACTTGAATGCTAAGGAATAAGTTTGGATGCTAAGATTTCTATTGAAGCACATGCATGAATTAAGTAAGTAATAATAGTTTCCAGTCAAACCCAACAATACAGAATGACATTTGTTATGGTATTTACTATACAAAAGAGACTTGCAGTTGATGAGGAATTCTCTACCACAAGTTGTCGAGGCAAGATCACTAAACTATTTAAAGAGGCATTTATGGTTTTTTTGAAAAATCATGGAATTGAGGGCGATGACGAGCTGCACGACAGAGAATCAAGACCTGGGGCAGACTGGCAGCCTTGTTTAACCCTGGTGTTCGCTGAGATGGAGGTTTATGATTGTTCCTATGTTTAGGAATCATGGCTTGCATATCATTATGGAGTAGGCCAAGATTACAGTATGATAATGAACAGATTTTTTTCAAAGTGTTGATTGAGGAGTACATGTTGCCCAAGAGACCAGAGGTAACTCACTTGCCATTCTTTGAAATAAGGATTTTTATTTAATATTTTGAGGAGTGGACAATTTAGGATTTCATTTGAAGACATCACCTCTAAAAGTGCTATACTTCCTTGGAGCATCAGTGAGACTTTTATGCTCCAGTCTCTAGATTTAATTTCTGGGACTGGGACTTGACTAGAATTTATGACTCAAAGTTGAGAAAAGGTGACAGTGATACCACTGAGCCACAGCAGAATGCTGAGGAAATACAGAAAATGGGTCATCTGAATACAACTACTTTTTGCTTTTTATTTATTCATTGAATGGAAGGGTCACTGACTGGGGCAACATTTGTTGCCCATCTTAGTTGCCCTTGCAAAGGTGGTGGTGAGCTGCCATCTTGAAATGCTGCAGTCAGTTTGCTGTAGGTGGATATACAATGCTGATGTGAAGTGACTGGGAGAGGAACTTGCAGATGGTGGTGTCCTCATATAACTGCTGCCCTTGTCCTTCTAGATGAAAGCGGGCATGTGTTTTCAATGTCCTGCCTGTGGAGCCTTGGTGAATTTCTACTGTGTATTTTGTGTAAGCAGCATTTTGTAAATGGAATACACTGATTGCTACTGTGTTGGTGGTGAACAGAATGAATGTTTGTGGATGTGGTGGCAATCAAGTAGGCTGCTTGATTTGGATGGTGTCAAGTATCTTGTGTTGTTGGAGCTCCACCCATCCAAGCAAGTGGGGAATATTACATCACACAGCTGACTTATGCCTTGTAAATGATGGGCATGCTTTGGGGAGTCAGGAGGTGAATTACTGCAAGATTCCTAGTCTCCTACCTGCTCCTGTAGTCAAAGTACTTATGTGCGGAACTGAAGTAGTCATACAAGTTCCAGGTAGTGACTGTCTGCAACAAGGGACCATTAGCTCCTAACATTCAATGAATCCCCCACTAACAATGTCATGGATGTTACCATTGACCAGAAACTAAATCGGACTCTCCGTTTAAGTATAGTGCCTCCAAAAGCAGTTCAGAGGCTGGATTGATAGTTTTCAGGATATGCAAATTGAGAAATCATACAATTCAACAGAAGGCTTTGGATTTGAAATGATATAGAATGTGTTCACAGAAGACTTTGGTCTTTGTGATTTTCAGAGTACATTTCAAACTCTCATAGGCTTCTGAATACATCAACTGCTGTAGTTCTTCAGAGTGTGCACTCATCTGTCCATCACTAGCTTACCAAATTTCTATTAACAAAGTGTTTGCAGTGCTTTTGGCTTTTGGTGTGGAAGTTGAAGACTTTACCATCAACTTATTAAGCTATTATCATATCTTGAAGAGCCTGTCGGTAGCAAACTGCCACATCGCTGCAAGGAATATTGTGAGCAGTATTGATCCTATGATAATCTCTTGTTATGCCTATACGCAGATCTCTGGTCGAACCATTGCATTTATTGCTTTTGCATAGTGTCATGTTGGTGATGGATGCTGCTTATACCATCTGACTAACTATATATCTAACATATTGAATTCAGCATCTGTGGGCTTCTGGCATCATACTGAAAATTGTTTCTTTGAACCAATTTTAATAACAGAGAAACTGTTCCTTGCCTGATGAGAGTAATGTGGCCAGGTTGCAAGAGGAGCTCATAGGGGTGAAACTAAGAGAAGCAGAAGCATTGATGGGCCTCAAAGAACTTCGGCAGCAAGTTAAAGATTTGGAGGATCACTGGCAGGTAAGATGACGTTGAAATTTTGCAAACATTCAGAGAAATGTTTATGGACATTTTCCAAAATGATTCTTTGTATTCTTGCTTTATAACATGGCTATCTGGTCTCTGCAATAGCTTAAAGTTTGACATTGCACTGTATTTATTTAAGTCTGTGGTGGTTTATTCTTGCACATTACTTTATCTCCAGAGTACAGATCAATCTGATGCTGCAAATTGTGCATTGTCATGTCAGAGATATCAGAATATTTACGTTAACTTAACATCCCAGTAGAGACAAAAAACTTACCCCCCCCCACACAGACTTCCCCAAACATGCCCTCATTGCATAGTTTTCACACTTATTGCAGTATACTGTTTGAATCACTCAATTTTACCACCATTTTGGCAAAGGCAAATTTTGTTGCAACTAGTTTTGCAACTTTCGTTCAATAGCTACCATCTCATACAATTGTATTCAAATTTTCCCCTTTATCTTGCAAAGTGGGAAAGGAAGATCACAAAGCTAGTGCTACCAAAATTAATAAAGATCGAGTGTTAAAATTGCACCAAAAGGCAGAGCTTTCAATGAAGTCTGGTTCATAACTTAGTAAAAAAACTTGACTGAAAAGCAGGGTACGACTTCAGAAGGGAAGTAAGTTAGTACTTCTTTTTTTAATTATCTCGGGATGTGGGCTCCTCTGGCTAGGTTAAGGGTTAACCACATGGACCTAGAATTTCATGTAAACCAGACCAGGTAAGGATGGCATGTTTCCTTCCCTAAAGGATCTTAGTGAACAAGTTGTGTTTTTACAATAATCAGCAGTGGTTATGTGGTCACCACTACATTAGCTTTTCATTCCAGATTTTTTTTGATGTGTTGAGAATAGATTAATGGGCAAAATAAGATGTAAACTTTGAAATCTTTTATAAGCATACAGATACGCAGTTTGCCTAATGTCACTGGTTAGGAAACTGCTAGAGAAATTAATCTAGGACAAAATTAATTAACATTTGATCAAGTATAGGTGACTAATTGAAAGCCAGCAAGGAATTGTTAACAGCAAATAGTGTTTGACGAACCTGATGCAGTTGAAGTAACAGAGGGTTGAAGAGTAGCGTGGCTGATGTTGCGCACACTTACTTTCTGAAGGCATTTAATACAGCATCATGTTATTGACTTGTTAACAAATTGCAGCTCATGGCCTTAATGAGGCAGTGGATGCAGTCATGCAAAAAGTGAATTTGGGACAGAAATGGAAAAGTGGCAAATAGTTGTTGTGCAAACTGGAGCAAAGTGTGGCGACCACATGGTAAGCAACAAATAGTATGTGCTAACTTGAATTAATGTTTATCCTGGAATGAGTGCCTGGGTCCTTGGGTGGAAGTTATGTTAAACCTTTATAAGGGCCCTAACCAGAATGCTGTGTCCAGTTCTGGACACTACTGTTTAGGAATTAGCTCAAGAGTTTAATGTGAGTACACTGGAATGGTACCGAGGATGAAAGGCTTAAGTTACATTAGGATACCAGAGTAAGTGTAATTGTTCTCTTTAAGCAGACAAAGTTATGGGGAGATTTGATAAAGATACTCAAAATCGTGAAGAGCTCTAATGAACTAAATGAGGAGGAATTATTCCCAGTGTTAGAAGGGTCATTCACCAGAAAAGGGGCATTCAAGGCAACTGGAATAAGAACTAGATGTGACATAGAAAGAAATAGTGAGCTTTGATCATGTGGAGTGCCCAAAAGGGTTATCAAAAACGATTCAATAACTACTTTATGAAGTGGAACCATTTACAGAGCTATAGTGAACAAGCAAGGGTGTAGAATTATTTGAATAGCTGTTTGAAAAATCAGCTGCTGATATGCTGGACCAAATTGCCTTCTCCTGTGCTGTATCTTTCAATAATTGTCTATCCAAAGTACAAATCTGAGTAAGATTTGCGAGGTTTCCCAGATACTTTGCTGTACAAGTTAGAATTGTTTGTGATATTGATTATTTACAGTTTTTATAACAACTTAAACCATTAGAACAAAAACAGAAGTTGCTGGAAAAGCTCAGCAGGTCTGGCAGCACCTGTGAAGAGAAAATTAGAGTTAGCGTTTCGGGT